TTTTCCTATCACATGAAACATCAACCGTAATTATGATATTCGTTTTTGATTCGAAGATATTAATTAAGTATGGTTGCAGTAATGAGTATCGTACAGCCTAAACTTAATATACTGTAGTCACATCAGGAAGCAGTCTTTTAAACAAACCTCTTTCCGATCACTTGCAAAGAGTACATTCTGTAAAAAATAGCTACTTAAGTAGTATTTATTTTCACTGATGTCATAAATTCAAATCTATTTTATAGAAAATATAAACAAAAATATTCTCGAATGAATGAGAAGGTTCGCGATCCAGGTACTTGGATGGATGAGGAAGAAGGCGAATCGAGCACCAGATCAATTGATTTAGTGTTCTGAGCTTTCGAACACTTACAGGTGTTCATCTTCAGAGATGAGAAAGCAACCAAAAAGGAGGATAATTATAGTGGCCAAAGGCCAATTAACTGTCAGAAATCGTCAGGTTATCAAGGGATTAGAAACAGCAAACGAAAAGGGGATGTGGGGGAGGAGGGCAATTAGCTGTCAGTGGGATCGGAGGGGCAATTATAGTGGTGTAGGCTAATTAGCTGTCCGTGGGGCTGGGGGTCATGAACAGTAATTAGTACTCTTTCTTGTACTCTTGTACTCTTTCTTCTAGTACTCTTCTTTGTTGTACTCTTTGAATGAAGAATTGCGCCTTCTTCAACATTTATACTTGAAAAAAGACGTATATGTCGGTTTAAAAAAGTTTGTAAATGGAGGAATAATTTCTAACACTACCGGTCATGGCACATGAAATCAAGGTCTCTATACATTCTGTATACATTCTGTTTTAGGATAAGTAAATATTTCTCTGCAGTGTGAAGAAGAATTCTTGTAGATCTAGTGTACTTCTTTCATGAATATGGACTAAATTAGATAATTTATAGGCAAAATGAATAAATAGAAAAGTACGTAGCTTTATGAAGTCGCATTTCACGGTCGTAAAAAATCACAGGGTAAAAATCTTTTTCACACCGAAAGATATAATTTCTTCAAGTATACACTTTTAATAAAGCGCAATTTGCCATCCAACATGTGCACAAAATAAGGCTTTTGTGCATTTTTTCTACAAAACATAGTAAAATTTATGAGAGCAGTGAAAATCAATGTGAAAATGCACAGTAATTTAGTAGCCGTATTTTACGAAATATACTTTCGGTAGCCTGTCAAAGGGAACCCCTTTTAAAGTAGGCGTTCTGATGTATTTAGGTCAAGATGCAGGATAATCATCATCAAAACCATATTTGATTAATACGTTGGAATTAAAAATATATTTCAGAATTTCGGTTGACATTTCAGGAGACAGGGAATTTACTGTACCTCGAAAAGGGAAAGTTAACTGCAGCTTTAAAATATAGCCTAAAAACACGTGTGAATAACCAAGTAGCAACTGAACGTCCAAACGTACCGTAGGTATGAGTTTGGGTGCTTTGGTGAGGATCGAATTCCAGACCTCTCCAGTCATTACGATATGCTGTCTCCGGACTTCCCCCAGTTCGCAGTCATCGCCGAGATCTCCAGATCTGCCCATCTGGTCATCTTCCGAGGCGTAGGTTTCGTACTCTAAGATGTTGCGCTGATCCTCGAAGGAGTAGCTGTGCGTGCTGCCACAGAAGAACTTGCGCACTGCCTCTCCGGTGCTCTCGATGAAAGTCCGCGTCAACGCAGTTGGCGAATTCCTACCCCTTCCCCACGACGACGAAGAGGACCCAGGCTCCGATGCCGGCACAAGGACCTCGACCTTAAAGAAGGGCGCACTGCCACTGGGCCCAGAGGCGGCAGAGGAGAAGGAGCAACTGAAAGACTCCTCCTGCCCAGCTTCAGTGGGTTGTCTTGCCG